TGCATGGAGGGGGAAAGAGCCAGTGCTGAGACAGAGAACTGTCCTTAGCCTCAGTGCTGTGCTGCTGAGGAAGGAGGGCAGACTGTGTCCTTTTTTCCTCTCTCCCATTGTCATGTGATTTGGGAGCATGGGGACACCTGATGTAAATGGGGATTCTTTTGGGGACACCTGCTGTAAAGGGGGACTCTATTGGGGATACCTGATATAACCACTTGCCTTCCGGAAGATTTCCCCCAGGGCCATTTCTTTCTAATCAGCGCTGCGCTATTTTAACTGGTAATTGCATGGTCATGCAATGCTGTACCCCAACAAAATTTGTGTCCTTTTTTACACAAATAGAACTTTCTTTTGGTGCCATTTGATCACCAATGGGAATTTTTATTTTTTTTTGTGATACATAAATGAAAAAAAAAGACCAAAAATTTAGAAAAAAAAAACATTTTCTACTTTGTTATAAAAAATACCTAATAAACTCATATTTTAATCATACATTTAGGCCAAAATCTATTCTGCTACGTCTCTGGTAAAACAAAATCCCAATAAGTGTATATTAATTGTTTTGTGTGAAAGTTATAGTGACTACAAACTATAGTATAGATACTGGAATTACGCAGCTTTCTGATTGCCTATCACATTTCGTGAGGTGCTAAAATGCCAGGGCAGTACAAACACCCCCCAAATGACGCCTTTTTCAGAAAGTAGACACCCTAAGCTATTTGATGAGAGGCATGTTGAGTCCATTGAAGATGTTTTTTACACAAAGTTGTCAATTAAATGACATGTTGCTCACACATGCCATGGGTATATGTGGAATTACACCCCAAAACATATTCTGCTACTTCTCCTGAGTATGGAAATTCCACATGTGAGACTTTTTGGGAGCCTAGCCGCATATAGGAGCCCAAAATCCAATGACCCCTTTGAAAGCCTAATGGTGCATAAATTCCTCACTACCTAGAACAGTTTCAAACGCTCTGAAATTCCAGGATAGCAACCCCCCAAATGAACCCTTTTTGGAAAGTAGACCACCCCAAACTATTTGTTGAGAGCTATATTGAGTCAATGGAAGATTTTTTTTAGCACAAGTTTTGGAATATATATATATGTATAGTTGTGTTCACAATAATAGCAGTGTGTTGAAAAAAGTGAATAAAGCTCAAAATCCTTCTAATAGCTTTTATTTCTATACACACAAATGCATTGGGAACACTACACTTTCTATTCGAAATCAAAACAAGAAGAAAAATATATCAAATTTGTGTTGTTCATCTAAAAAAATTGAAGAAAAGTGAATATTAGACTGTTCAAAAAAATAGCAGTGTTTGTATTCTTCTTTACAAACTCAAACATTCATTATATATACTGAAAAATGTTTGAAGATTTTGCTTTCCTTTGAATCACTTAATATTTAGTTGTATAAGAACTGTTTCTGAGAACTGCTGTACATCTGTGTTGCATGGAGTCAACCAACGTCTGCCACCTGTGAACAGGTATTCCAGCCCAGCATGATTGGACTACATTCCACGGTTCTTCTCGATTTCTTGGTTTTGCCTCAGAAACTGCATTTTTTATGTCACCCCACAAGTTTTCTATTGGATTAAGATCCGAGGATTGGGCTGGCCACTCCATAACGTCAATCTCGTTGGTCTGGAACCAAGATGTTGCACGTTTACTGGTGTGTTTGGGGTCGTTGTCTTGTTGGAACACCCATTTCAAGAGCATTTCCTCTTCAGCATAAGGCAGCATGACCTCTTCAAGTATTCTGATGTATTCAAACTGATCCATGATCCCTGGTATGCGATAAATAGGCCCAACACCGTAGTATGAGAAACATCCCCATATCATGATGCTTGCGCAACCATGCTTCACTGTCTTAACAGTGTACTATGGCTTGAATTCAGTGTTTGGAGGGTCGTCTGACAAACTGTCTTCGGCCACTAGACCCAAAAAGAACAATCTTACTTTCATCAGTCCACAAAATGTTGCGCCATTTCTCTTTAGGCCAGTCAATGTGCTCTTTGGCAAATTGTAACTTCTTCAGCACATGTCTTTTTTTCAACAGTGGGACTTTGCGGGGGCTTCTTGCAGATAGCTTGGCTTCACATAGGCGTCTTCTAATTGTAACAGTACTCACAGGTAACTTTAGACCTTCTTTGATCTTCCTGGAGCTGATTGTTGGCTGAGTCCTTGCCATTTTGGCTATTCTTCTATCCATTCAAATGGCAGTTTTTCGCTTTCTTCCACGTCTTTCAGGTTTTGGTTGCCATTTTAAAGCATTTACGATCATTTTAGCTGAGCAGCCTATCATTTTCTGCACTTCTTTATATGTTTTTCCCCTCTCCAATCAACTTTTTAATCAAGGTACGCTGTTTCTTCTGAACAATCTCTGGAACGACCCATTTTCATCAGAATGTCAGAGAGAAATGCACTGTAACCAGCATGTACAATATTTGCTGCCTTCCTTCCTTAAATAAGGGCAATAATTGCCACCTGTTTTTCAAAGAATGAATGACCTCACTAATAGAACTCCACACTGCTATTATTTTGAACATGCCCCTTTCAATTAGTGATTTAATTACACAGAATCAGCAGCATGCATGCCATGACTGTTTGGTCTATTGGATTTCTATTAATCTACTACACCTGTTAGTAAATTATTTGCCATGTAGAAATATCATTTCTACCAAAACAGTGACTGACCAGGTTAGTGATGTCTGACTGCTATTATTTTGAACACAACTGTATATGTGTATGAAGATACAACATGTGGGAGACTTTTTGGGAGCCTAGTCGCATACAGGAGCTCAAAATCCAATTACCTCTTTGAAAGCCTGAAAGTGTGTAATTTCCTACTTTCACTACCTATTACAGTTTTAAAGGCCCTGAAATGCCAGGATAGCACCCTTTCCCCGAAAATGACCCCTTTTTGGAAAGTAGACATCTCAAGAAATTTAATAAGAGGCATGGTGAGTATTTTGCAGATCTCATTTTTTCTGTCACACAGTTTTGAAAAATAAAAAAATACATTTTCGTTTTCTTTCTTCGTTTTCCAAAAACTTGTGGCAACAAATGAGATCTGTAAAATACTCACCATGCCTCTTAGCAAATACATTGGAGTGTCTGTTTTCCAAAAACAGGGGGTGTTGTACTATTCTGGCATTTCAGGGCCTCCAAAATTGTGATAGGTAGTCAGGAAGTATAATTAGGAAATAAAGCCCTTTAAAAGCCTGAAGGTGATTATTGGATTATTGGGTCCTGTACAAGGCTAGACTGCCAAAAAGTCTCCCATATGTGGTAACCCCATGCTTGGGAGAAGCAGCAGAATATACTCCCACTGCTTGTAAAAGCAACACAGTGGCTAATTAGCCACTAGGATTGCTTTTACATGAAAGCCAGCTGAAAAAAACAATACCAGGATGATGCCTGCAGCTGTATAACCACTCAAAGTCCAGTGATGTACCAGTACATCACTGGTCCTTGTTGGTCATTTATGTAGTGTTCTTTTTTTTTCATGCAGCCTGTGGGATGAACAAAAAAAGAGAACCTAACAGATTACTCCATTCACATGAATCAATATGGATGAAGAAATCTCTGCCAGAAAAAGTGTGTGGTATTAGAATATACCACCCTGCATCCACTCACTTATAGTGTTGGGAATACATGCTATGTTCTTTTTTTCATTCAGCCTGTGGGCTGAATGGAAAAAAAATAACCTGAAAGATTCCTCCATTCTCACTGATCAATGAAAATGAAAAAATTGTATGCCGAAGCATAGGAGCGATCCATCCACTGACCACCCCTAGGCCCCCATTCTTGGGCATATATGTTCAGTAACATAAGAATAATAAATAAAACTACAACCTGGTTTTATTTAAATCTGTGCCAAGCCCTCCTATGCCCTCAGGTCATTTCTGAACTATGCTCTGAGACACCAACATGACAAATGTTTTGTCACTTGTCACAGTTCATGAATGGAATGGATTACCGCTCTTGACTTATAAGTCTTTGACTTCATGCCTATATCAGTACACAGGACAATGGTAACCAATGTATCTTTTACAAATTTATTTCAATAAAATGTATTGAAAGTGAAATCTGTGGAAAAAAAATGTAAATATAAAGTATATGCAGAAGCATAGGAGCAATCCACCCACTGACCACCCTTGGGCCCCCATGCTTGGGCATATACTGCATTTTTTTTTTTAACCGCGGATGAAAAATCTCATTTAGCAGCACTTCATGCACTGATGTATATATTCTGAGAGCAATAAACAGATCGGTGCTGCAGCAGAATTGTATTCCTGCAAAGCAAATCATGGTTAACAATAGAACATTAACTCAATAAAACGTCAACTTTCTGACTTTATTTTTTTTTTTTTTACCTTTTCTTGTAACTTTGAAGAATAGTCTCTGATTTTATGGTTTCCCAAAATGCGATAGACAGTTTCCTGTCTAACATCTTTTGAGACTGTGAGAATTGTGAAAATGTGCCCTAGCCTGTGCTGTTCTGTACCCTATACTAATACTCCACTAGTGTATGGTAATGACAGAAGCAGTCCTTGAGGCAGAGATCAGCAGGTGTCACACCTTATTCCGTGTCTGCTACAGACACAATATCTTCTTTGGGGTAACCTTTGGGTTGGAATACCAGAGAGAAAAATGGTTCTCATGAAGCTGGCTCACTGCATCTGGATTTGGGTATTGGGCCACAGCACCTTCTGCATACAAAATGGCCATGATGATCCCTTCCTTAAATTTTTCTTCATCCAGTTGCTTTGTAAATGACAAAAGTGTTATATATACCCAATTGAAATAACTAGACACCTTTTTGTACCAGTATTGAACTTTGCAGAAAACTAGGTATGGATCCATCATTTGGTTGTTGAAGTCCACCCCTCCCATATTAAGGTTATAGTCGTGAACACAGATGGGTTTCTCAACAATGCCTTCGTGTCTGGGTGAATGGAAGACAGGGTGTAAACATCTCATTTGTCCTTCCACTTCACTGCAAGCAATTTGTCAGGAATGGACTTGCCAATAGTGGTGGGACTCACCTGCCTTGTGGGCTGCAGTACCAGGGCTGGCCAGCGGGTGCTCTCAACAACCAGAGGTTCACTTCGGCAATTAGCCATAACCTGGGGCTGATTGCAGGTGTATTTAAGGGATGGCCAGACCTGCAGTCTGGGCCTTGGTGTGTGTTTTTCCATGGGCCCCTGTTTCTTGTAACCTGCATTCCTGTTCCTGTCTCTGCCTGACTTGTTGCAGACCCTGCCTGATCCTGACCTCTGCTGACTTCTCCTGTTTTGATCCCTGGCTTGTGACCCTGACCATTCTCTCCGCCTGCTCCTCCTGTACCTACCTGCCCGATAGTTATCAACCTGGCCTGCCTGACTACGTTGTGCTCTATACGTGTATGTACCTGTGTATCTGTATCAGTTTTGGTTTGGGTTTGTTTCACCTTGTTGTATATATTTGTGTTAGCTGGGGGTTTGGTGCACTGCGTTTATGTTTGTATTGTTAGTCTTAATAAATTGTCTTATTTATACCATATCTGAAGCTTGCGTTTCCCTGTATCAGTCCACACACTTCTGGTCACACCTGCATCCCTGACATTACACCAAGGCCAAAAACCTGACCAGAAGTGGCTGCACAGGGAGGCCATCTTGGCTTATTGTTGCTGGGAAGGATGGATCTTGATGAGGTGGTGTATTTATCTCTGCTAGTGTTTGATGACAAAGACTATGCTTATCAGACTCTTAAGGAGCATACCCGGGATCAACTGCTAGAGTGTATAAGGATCGCTCATTGTCTAGTTGATCAGGGCACAGAGTTTTCTGAGGTGCAGCCATTGATCCAGGTTTGTGCTGAGTTGGCTTGGTCCTGTACACCTGAAAGCAGGGATAACTTTTTTCCCCCATTTAGTGTGGATCAAGTGGAATCACTGGTATGGTTGTTGGAGGATGATCCAGATTGTTTCCATGAGCACTATGCAGCATGTCCATCACATGTGCTTGTGGATTGCATAAACGCAGTGCAGTCTTTGATCAGACAGGCTAGGTGTAAGCTGAGTTTTGTTAAACCAGTACTGCAGACATGGACAGATTTGTTACACCCAGCCTCAGTCGGCTTGCAACATCATTCCTCTGCTCAAGGCACTCTTCCTGCATCCCCGACAGCACCCCCAGTGATGGCCCAGTATACTCTGCTAACTACCACATACCAGTCCCCTGCTCCCACTCGCTGCACCTATCCTTTCTTCAACCCTGTAAAGAAGTCCTCTGTAGCAACTGCTCCCCCCTCTGTTCCATCCCCCAGCTCTTCTCTGTCTTCAGCTGCTCCATCCGTTTACAAACCTGCGCTTACTTACAGTGCTCCGGTAACTAAAACCAGGAAAAGGCGAAAATTCTTTCCAACCAATACCATCCTGCCAGTATCCAAACCGGTCAGCCTCCCATCTGAGAACCTGCCTTCCGTGGTGCAGCCTGGTGCCTCGCGCGCCCACAATTCAGCCTGATGTCTCTACCCAGCCTGATGTCTTTACCCAGCCTGATGCCTCTACCCAGCATGATGTCTCTATTCAGCCTGATGTCTCTGTCAGGGATCCTGGGTCCTCGGCGGCGCGCGCATGCGCAGACCGCCGATCCGTCCCAGCCGGCGAGCGCAGAATCCTCGGCGATCGCGGCGGCCGCGCATGCGCAGTAGCGATCGCGGCCGCACCAATGGGAGAGCAGGGCGCCCTATTTAAAGCTGCCTGTGCATCTCCAAGTTGCCGCAAGGTCTCGTTCCTGTTTCTGTAAGTACGCTTCTTGTTGCCAAACTCTGCCTGTCCTGTTTATGCTGACCTTCTCCTGCTCTGACCCCGGCTCGTCCCTGACCATCCTTCTGCCTGACCTCCTGCACCGCGCTGCCCGCTACCTGCTGAACCTGGCTTGTGACCCCGACCATTCTCCGCTTGCTCCACCGTACCACGCTGCCCGCACAATACCGACCCGGCTAGTCTGACCTCGCCTACTCCTGATAGCTGCCCATCCATCCCGCTCGGATCAGGATCTGTCATCCCATCCATCCCGCTCGGATCGGGATCTGTCATCCCCTTCACAGCAGGCTCTACCCGGGCACATACCCTCAGCGGGACCCCTCTGCCACCGCCGGGGGTGCCCAGGGACGCGACCTGGTTTCAGTCTTGCACCAAGTCCATCCCCACCATCAGGGGCCCTGGTGAAAAGGCAGACTGGGACTTAGACTCCGCGTCCTGGAAAACCCCGTGCCGTGGACCACTAGAGATCCCGTTGGGCGGAGCCTGACAGTCTCTACCCAGCATGATGTTTCTACCCAGCCTGATGAACTGATCCAGCCTGATGATCCTATTATGCCAGATGACTCGGAGCCTGCGGTCTTGCCAGACGACTCGGTGCCCGCAGTCTTGCCAGACGACTCGGTGCCCGCAGTCTTGCCAGACGACTCGATGCCCGCAGTCTTGCCAGACGACTCGGTGCCCGCAGTCTTGCCAGATGACTCGGTGCCCGCAGTCTTGCCAGACGACTCGATGTCCGCTGTTCCGCTAGACGACTCGGTGCCCGCGGTCTTGCCAGTTGACTCAGTGCCCGCTGTCTTGCCAGACGACTCGGAGCCCTTGCCAGACGACTCGGAGCCCGCTGTCTTGCCAGACGACTCGGAGCCCGCTGTCTTGCCAGACGACTCGTTGCCCGCGGTCTTGCCAGACAACTCGGTGCCCGCAGTCTTGCCAGACGACTCAGTGCCCGCAGTCTGCCAGACGACTCGGAGCCCGCTGTCTTGCCAGACAACTCGGAGCCCGCGGTCTTGCCAGATGACTCGGAGCCCACGGTCTTGCCAGATGACTCGGAGCCCGTGGTCTTGCCAGACGACTCGGTGCCCGCTGTTCCGCCAGTTGACTCAGAGCACGCTGTCGGGCCAGTTGACTCAGAGCCTGGTGACTCGGGGCCCGCGGTCTTGCCAGATGACTCGTGCCCGCAGTCTTGCCAGACGATCCAATGCCTGATGACCCAGTGTCCACTGTCATGCCTGGTGACCCAATGCCCGCTTTCATGCCTGATGACTCGATGCCCGCTGTCGAGCCAGACGATCCAATGCCTGATGACCCAGTGCCCGTTGTCATACCTGGTGACCCGATGCCCGCTGTTGAGCCAGATGGCCCGATGCCTGCCGCCCTGCCTGGGGGCCCGGTTCCCGCTGCCCCACCTGGTGACCCGATGCCCGCTGTTGAGCCAGATGGCTCGGTGCCTGCCGCCCTGCCTGGGGGCCCGGTTCCCGCCGCCCCACCTGGGGGTCCGGTGCCCGCCGCTCCGCCTGGTGGCCCGGTGCCTGCTGCTCCGCCTGGTGGCCCGGTGCCCGGTGCCCGCCGCTCCGCCTGATTGCCCGGTGCCCACCGCTCCACCTGGGGGCCCGGTGCCTGCCGCCCTGCCTGGTGGCCCGGTGCCTGCTGCTCCGCCTGGTGGCCCGCCGCCCTGCCTGGTGGTCCGGTGCCCGCTGCTCCGCCTGGTGGCCCGGTGCCCGCTGCTCCGCCTGGTGATCCGGCATCCAGCCTGACATGCCTCAGTCCGGTGCCCAGTCTGAAGTGCCTCTGTCCGGTGTCCAGCCCAAAGTGCCTCTGTCCGGTGCCCAGCTCGAAGTGCCTCCGTCCGGTGCCCAGCCCGATGTGCCAGTCTTTGATATCCCGCCAGTCACCGGACCCGGGCGGTGGAACATTTTGCCCAGCTAGGACTGTTTGGAGCGTCCTGAGGCCGCTCTTGAGGGGGGGTACTGTCAGGAATGGACTTGCCAATAGTGGTGGGACTCACCTGCCTTGTGGGCTGCAGTACAAGGGCTGGCCAGTGGGTGCTCTCAAAAACCAGAGGTTCACTTCGGCAATTAGCCATAACCTGGGGCTGATTGCAGGTGTATTTAAGACCTGCAGTCTGGGCCTTGGTGTGTGTTTTTCCATGGGCCCCTGTATCTTGTAACCTGCATTCCTGTTCCTGTCTCTGCCTGACTTGTTGCTGACCCTGCCTGATCCTGACCTCTGCTGACTTCTCCTGTTTTGATCCCTGGCTTGTGACCCTGACCATTCTCTCCGCCTGCTCCTCCTGTACCTACCTGCCCGATAGTTATCGACCCGGCCTGCCTGACTACGTTGTGCTCTATACGTGTATGTACCTGTGTATCTGTATCAGTTTAGGTTTGGGTTTGTTTCACCTTGTTGTATGTATTTGTTTTAGCTGGGGGTTTGGTGCACTGCGTTTATGTTTGTATTGTTAGTCTTAATAAATTGTCTTATTTATACCATATCTGAAGCTTGCGTTTCCCTGTGTCAGTCCACACACTTCTGGTCACACCCGCATCCCTGACACAATTCATCATTTCTCAAGCAGGCTTTCTCCCCCTTCTGGGTGTCGGGTGTTTACAAGCCATTGGGGGGAACCCCGGCAATTAGGTCGCACAGTACCACATGAGCCAATTCCAAGATTGTACAAATGTCTAAATAGTGGCACACTTGTATAGAAGTTGTTGACAAATAAGTGGAACAAAGATGACACCAAGTCCCATACTATCTTGCCACTGCTTCCCATGTAGTCTGGCCAGTTGTGGGGCTCTACTTCACTGTCACTTCCCTCAAAAATGCTAAAATTACATGTAAAGCCTGTGGTCCTCTCACATACAGTTGCAAGAAAAAGTATGTGAACCCCTTGGGATTATGTGAAGTTTTGCATGAAATGGGCATAAAATGTGCTCTGAACGTCATCTAAGTCACAACAATAGAAGAACACAGTCTGCTGAACATAATACTACGCAAACATTAGATGTTGCCATGGTTTAATTGCACATAACATGTAAATATTCACAGTGCAGGGAGGAAAAAGTATGTGAGGCCCTAGCTTAATGACTTCTCCCAGAGCTAACTGGAGCCAGGAGTGAGCCAACCTTGACTCCATTCAGTGTGATGATATTGGATGTGTTGCTGATAGCTGTCCTGCCCTTAAAAAACACACACCTGTTTTGGGTTTACTGGTTTCAAGAAGCACTGTCTGATGTGAACCATGCCTCACAGAAAAGAGCTCTCAGAAGACCTACGATCAAGAATTGTTGACTTGCATGAAGCTGGAAAGGGTTACAAAAGTATCTCCAAAAGCCTTGATGTTCATGTGTCCATGGTAAGACAGACTGTCTACAAATGGAGAAAGTTTAGCACTGTTGCTACTCTCCCTAGGCGTGGTCGTCCTGTAAAAATGACTGCAAGAGCACAGCGCAGAATGCTGCATGAGGTAAAGAAGAATCCCAGAGTGTCAGCTAAAGACCTACAGAAATCTCTGGAACATGCTAACATTTTTGTTGACACATCTACAATAAGGAAAACATTAAACAAGAATGGAGTACATGGGAGGACACCACGGAGGAAGCCATTGCTGTCCAAAAAGAATATTGTAGCATGTTTGAAGTTTGCAAAAGAGCACCTGGATATTCCACAGCACTAATGGCAAAATATACTGTGGACAGATGAAACCAAGATTGAGTTGTTTGGGAAGAACACACAACACTATGTGTGAAGAAAAAAAGGCACAGCACACCAACATCAAAACCTCATCCCCACTGTAAAACATGGCGGAGGGAGCATCATGGTTTGGGGCTGCTTTGCTGCCTCAGGGCCTGGACGGATTGTTGTCATTGATGGGAAAATGAATTCCAGAGTTTATCAAGATATTTTGCAGGAAAACGTACGACCATCTGTCCGCCAACTGAGGATGGGTGATGCAACAGGACAATGACCCAAAGCATACAAGTAATTCAACAAAACAATGGCTGCAACAGCACAGAATACGCCTTCTGGAGTGGCCCAGTCAGAGTCCTGACCTCAACCCGATTGAAATGCTGTGGCATGACCTTAAGAGCGATTCACACCAGACATCCCAAGAATATTGCTACACTGAAACAGTTTTGTGAAGAGGAGTGGTCCAAAATTACTCCAGATCGTTGTGCAGGTCAGATCTGCAACTACAGGAAATGCTTGGTTGAGGTTATTGCTGCCAAAGGAGGGTCAACCAGTTATTAAGTCCAAAGGTTCACATACTTTTTCCTCCCTGCACTGTGAATGTTTACATGTTATGTGCAATTAAACCTTGGCAACATCTAATGTTTGTGTAGTATTATGTTCAGCAGACTGTGTTCTTCTATTGTTGTGACTTAGATGACGTTCAGAGCACATTTTATGCCCAATTCATGCAAAACTCCATGTAATCCCAAGGGGTTCACATACTTTTTCTTGCAACTGTAGCTTATACAGTTTGACCCCAGATCCAGCACGCTTGCTGGAGAGGTACTGTTTGAATGCAAGGCATCCAGTAAAGTGAATGAGGAACTCATCCATGCAGATGTTTTGCTGGGGTGTATACACATCCTCAAGTTTTTTAGTGAGGTGGTTTATGAGGGGCTACATTTTGTAGAGCTGGTCATGTTCAGTATCACCCTGAGAGTGTTTTATCACTGAAATGTGTGAAGCGCATTATCATTTCAGATCTATGCCTGGCCATTTCAGCAGCAGAGAACATGGGCATATCATGAACTGGGTCTGTCGACCCAATATAACCGCAACTCATTCTTTTTTGTAATGTCCATTTTGAGGATTGGGCCCAAAAAAGTGTTACATTTAGAAACCGAGATAGGTTTCCATGCGAATGATCTGGCAAGAGCTGAATTTGGGTTGACAGCGACAAAGTGTTGTACATATAAATTGCTTTGGTCCACAATCAAATTATACAAATCTTCTGTGAAAAACAGCTCTAAATAGTCAAGGGGAGTAGTTACATTTGCTGTTTACACCTGAATACCAGGTTTGGCAGTGAATGGAGGGAAGTATGGGTGCTGCAGAATCTGTGGGCTGCAAATCATTTGGAAGCATGTCTGGAAGGACATTATGGGCTCTATGGGCCTGTGTTAGAATTCTTGGTGGCTGCAGGACACTACTTGTGCTCGCAACCTCACCAGCTTCTACTGCACCTATGGGACTCGCCACATCACCAAATGATACTGCAGTGCTGGTATGAAAAAGACCATGAGGTACTAGGCAGCTGGTGCTTGCCAATTCACCAAAAGGTAGTGAGGCACTACTACTGGCTCCCTGTTGTATATGAGACAAGACATGCATTACTAGCACTTCAGCTACATGGGGTCGGGTACACCTGATCTTAACAGGGACCTCTTCTCCATCACCTGAGCTTTCTGTCAGGGTGCCGCTGCTTTCTACAGGTTCGTAATCTGAGGCAGATTTTGTCAGTGAGGACTCTCTTTTGCTCTCATCTGACATGCTCAGAATCCTGTAGGCCTCATCACTAGTGTACCTCTTTTGGGCTCTAAATTTACAGGTACCTACTGCTGCTCATGGGAAAAAGAGCATCTGGCTGTCTGCTTGAACCGCTACAAACAAAATTCAACTGCTAGTGCTAGCAGAGATCAGGCCTGATTCTGCTAACGCTGAAATTTTGTGTGCGATGTATCACAAGTGACAGTGATAAGAAATAACACTGACACTGCACTTCTTGTTAGGGGTGGAAGGGGGGGGGGGGGGGGCAAAGGGAGAAAAATGCAAGTTCTGTCAGCAAACAGGGCTGATCCTGCTAACACTGCAAGTTGGGGAACACTAATGCTATGGGGGCACTGGTATAGTTCTGTGCATGGTCAATATATATTGATCTGTACAAACACTATGCTAGTAATGACGGTGATCAGCGACCTATAGCGTGAGTGTGATAGTATGCTGGCAATCTAACGTTAGTTGACCCTGGCTGCGAGGGGCACTAACTGACCCTGATGCTATCTGACATTGCCAGTGGCACTAATACAGTGATCAGTGCAAAATACTGCAAACTGACACTGTACAAATGCACTGGCAGGATGACAGGGGGCCATCAGAGGGTTAAATATGACAATCAAGGTGTTAAAATGTGTTTATCAAAAGGTGTGAGTGCTGCTTTTACTCACTTGTAATGTGTCTCTTCTCTCACTGGAGCAAAAAGGTTCCAGAAAGAGAAGATCCAGCTAGATCCTGTGCTGCTTGTATTTACACATACAGGCACAGCTCTGCTTTTCCATTCGCTGCAGGAGATCAGCAGAGTTCCCGCCATCATCATTGGCCGGGACCTGCTGACAAACGTCCTGCAGCGAATGATGGTGAGGGTCAGTGGGGTAGGGGTTGGTGAGCACACAGGCAAGCTCCAAATCCTGAAAAACACAGCAACGTACAGGTACGTCACTGGTCCTGTAGATGCCGCCCATTCGCAGTACATTGCAGAAAGGTGGATGGGAGGTGGATAAAGTGGGACTCTATTGGGCACACCTTATGTAAAGGGGGACTCTGGTGTGAGGGAGAACAATTTGCCATCTTCGCCTTGGGCACTGGATGACCTTGTCTCGACATTGCCTGGAACATTTACAAACAGTCTATAGAGCAATAAAATAGCACTACAGAACAATCGCTGGATGTATACAGTATATATTTTACTATTAAAAGTGCACCTGTGCCCAGACTATTAATATGTAAGTATTTACATTTTTTTAACAAGCATAAAAAGTTTTATAACAAGCCCTCATTAATTTTTCCAGCAACATGTACAATAGAGTAACTCATTTTTAAAAATCCTCAAAGATCCTAGCAAAGACTCTAAAGTAAATATCTATAGCTACAGAAGTGAATCAGGTCTTGTTTTAACCCCTTCATAACAGAAGGTAAACTGATCATCTGGATTTGAGAATTAGTTCCAATTACATGATTTACTGTATATACGGTACCTGTGTTCATGACAAATTGGGCCTTCATTTGGTAGAACATGTTAACAGGTATCTCCTGATTTTATTATAAAAACCTGGTCAAAATAGTTATTAAAATAATGTTTTACACTTTAGATGTGTGTTTTTTTTTGCCATTCTTGCTATTACCATGACCCATCACCCCCCTCAGAAAAAAAAATTCTCCTACGCCTATCATTTGTGGTGATACCACATATGGTTGTGTTCAAAATAATAGCAGTCTGACATCACTAACCTGATCAATCACTGTTTTTGGTAGAAATTATATTTCTACATAGCAAATAATAATTTACTAGCAG